AAGCTTTAATTTGATATATGTTTAAAGGACGCAGTATTTCCGGAACATTTTCAAAAATTAAGTTGAAAAAGTTAGTTTTTGTAAAAAAGTTGCTATTTTAAATCCCCCCCAATGAGCAGGTTAAGTGTTAGATTTTCAAAAAAATGATATCAAATGAAAGGGAAATATCTAAGGTTTTAGTATAAAAAAAAATTATGTTAATTTGTTTATTTTTGAAAAAATTATGGAAGTTTTAAGAAAAAAAAGTGAGAAAAATGACAAAATTTACCGATTTTTAAATTTATAATTTTTTTGGATATTTCCCCTATTTGCGGGGAACGAGGGAAAAATTTTCAATTTTTAAGGGTAATGTCTTCAACTAGATACGATTTGTGATCTTTTGATGTATTGTTGAAAGAAATCGGTCCAGTGAGAGCTGAGAAAAAGTGGCAACAGACATAAAAAAAATAAACACATCATGGTAAAATTAATATCTTCACAGCTTCGAATCGAAGCAAAAAAAAAGTTTACTTTAGAGTATCTTAGTCCAAAAATTACTCTGTATAAATTTAGTCTTCTCCTCTACTCTAATAATAAATAATTAACTTATATGACCTATATTGACTTATCGCATCAAATACTGATAAACTAAAAATTAATATCTTCCAATAAACTCACAGTTCCTTGGTATGTCAGGAATACTACTCTACATCATCACCTAAATGTACCAATGCTCACATATTGATAGTGTCATTCTGTTATAAAACCTCTTTAATTATTTACAGAATTTAGAACTAAAATGATTTTTGTTCTTCGGGAATTTTATTATATCTAATAGATTAGTTAATTTATATTTTATTTTTTGTGATTTACTTGAAAAATTTTTACAGAAATCAAAAATATGATATTGAATTTAAAACTTCAGTGGAACTTAGAATATACATTTATATAGCTGGAGAACCCAAATAAAATTGATGTATATATATATATATATATATTACTATAAGTTAATTTTTGTTCTTAAGTTTTCTATGTTCAAAGAACCAAAATAACTTTGATTCTAGTCCCTATCAATGACATGCGCTTTCTTGAAGTCATCAGATACTAATGAATTGCAACAAATTTAATGAATGTATTATAATATATAGATTGTAAATATTATATATAATTAAATTTAAAAAAGTAATACTTTAGTCCAATAAATACTCCAGCAACTCCATGCTCAAAAAAGAATTCTTATATTTTTTTATAATAAGACCATATGTGTAGGGGCTAAGCCTCCTCACTCCTTTCCCGCCGATATCTATAATTAGGATTAATGTGATATATAAAAAGAATAGTAATTTATTTCTCTGTAATGAGTTCTAACTTAGTATATTGTACTATTAATAATAGAATGTATCTAACAAAAATGCCTTATAATTCTACTTTATCATAATTTAATTAAAAACAATTTTTTTTCCATAATTCATAGAACAAAAGTATTGGGCCAAAGATATAATATTTTTAGTAACTGAACATGAACAACTTGGTATGCAAGCTTGGCTAGAAGCCTATCATGGGACGTGCTGTGGTTATCCAGGTAAAAATTAATTTATTTCGAATTTGTAAAAGTTGTCTATTCTTTTTAGTTATTTTTTCTTATTATTTAAAATTAATTAGATGTTTTAGACTCGGGAAAACTTAGTAGTCGAGCTGGTGCAATCCAAGCTGCTCTTAATTTAGAAATACATTCCGAAAAAATTGATCATGTTGACATTAAGTTGTCTGGCTTGAATGGACAATTACCTAATTTAGATTTAGTCAATCTTGCTCATCGATTGTGTAGTAAAGAATCAGTGAAGCATACTTTTAATAATAAAGATGGAGGAGTATGATTTTGAAAATTAATAAAATATTTTTTAGCTATATACTATAATTAACACCCTTCTGTTGTAATAGTTAAAGTATTGTAATCCCTCCAAAAATGAATAGCGATTTTTAAAGTTTTTAGTCATGCATACAATTTTTACCTATAGAGCCAAAAAAATTGTTAAATGACCATTTTTCTTTTGTCATTTAAATTTAAAAAATAACCCAAAGAAAAATTTTTAATGATCAAAAAAAGGTTATTAAATATTCCTGAAATAATATATATAAATAAATAATAATAATAATAGTTAAAAAAAACTTATAGGAAATCGGACGATCTAAAATTATTAGTTATAAAACAAATCTAAGTACAATGATTTCAATGGTATTGACTCAAGCTACTGGAGTTCCAGATGGTAATCATGGATTGTTTCATCGGTAAGAACAGTAATTGGTTTTAAGACTCATTTTTAATTGTAAGAGTTATCTATTCTATCTTATCGAAATGAATGAAGTTGCTAAAAAGAATAAATATTTAATGAAATAGACAAGAAGAATAGAGTGATGAAGTACTAAAAACCAAAGAATAAACATTTTTTTCTACTATTAATTTAATAATTAGTGAATTAATTTTAAAGTTGAAGAATGAGTACAAGGCATAGTTGTGTGCTAGAGGTGCATTGACAATAAGTGGATTTGAAAAAAAATTTTAAAAAGTAATAATAATAATTTTTGTTTAAAAATATAAAAGGAAATAACTTTTATCTAGCTGAATGTGCAAAGAAATTTCCCTCCTCTCTCCCAAAGTCTCCCTTTATACTTAAATTGGAGCATTGTTTAAGTATTGGGACATGAATTATTTTCAGACTCGACCTAAAATTGAGATCTGTGCATGCCTACACAAAGAGCAAATCAAGATCAGCAGATAGTAACAATAAGTAGAGGTAGAATAGACGTGATTGAATATTTACAAGTATTTAGATATTAAGAGGAAAATATATTAGTCAACTGGGAACTGAACTCAGATTTCTTGCTATTAAAATGAGAGCTTTTCTACGAAGCTACCTCAGTAGCCTTACATAATTCACACTTCCTAAGCTTTTTAAGTGGTTAATAACACAAATTTCTATTATCTACCTACATTATTTTTAGTCTGATAGTGGTTTTAGTAAAGGTATTTATTGTTAATCAGTTATAATATGACAATTAATCAAATAATATATTTTCTTAAAATTTTATTTTAAATCCTGGATTATCTGTTAAAATATTCATTATTAATGTTTAAAAAAGTTTATAATTAGTAGTGTTTAAAAAAAATAACTGTTGACGAGATATTAATGTAACTTGAACTAATTTACTATAGTCTATAATTTGATATGACTATGATTCAGGTTTATAAGCATAAAAATATCATTAAATAATATACTTCCACTTTAGATTTGGTATTGAAGCTATAACTTTAGAAGGTCATGAAAAAAACGGTCGAGGTGTTTATATCAGTGTTCTTCAAATAGGAAGGTAAGAAGAATTATATTTTACATAGTACCAATATAATTTATATTATTTTTAAGGATTGTTGAAGGAATGTTTCGAAGTTTAAATAATTTACTTGAACGATTTCATCAATCTTTTTTTTTTTATTTATTGCCATCTACTGACCGTTATGTTTCTATCGGTAATATTTGTGTAGTTAAATATTTTTCTTTTTTTTTATATTATTAAAACTACTTTATATTTCTAGGTTTTTACATGCCTTGTTTAGTTTTGTTGGTTGGTGCTTTATTTTTGAAAGCTTTTTCTACGTGGATTCAATATACTTCAAAAAATGATGATTCTACTGATTTGTTTTTAGTAAAATATATTATGTATTCTAAAATATTTTAAGAACAACATATTCATAAAACTATCATTCAATGATTAACGCCTATAATGTTTTAATAATAATAGTTTGAGTAATTTTATACAGTGTTTCTGAATTCATAAAATTGATACTATTGGATTTATTTTTTGTTTTAAAATTACGGATAGGTTGAAGAGTTTTCCATAGGGTTTCTTTAAAAATAAAAATAAGTTACACCATTATGTTCTTTCCTTATAAATTGACAATTACTAATTGTTCCCAAGTGAAAAATAATCTTTACTAAGTCATATAATTTTGTTTGGAAATTTGAATCGCGGGTTGGCATAACTCCAGCTGGTACAATTTCAAAATGTGATATTTGTGATAAAGACAGAATTATTGATATAATTAAAGCAACATAATCCAATCTTAGTACTTATACACTTAATACGTGCGATAAGTCAAGTGAGCTATGTAGGCAACATAAAACTTAATTATAAGTATATATTTTGAGAAATTTTTTTTTTATATATATATATAAAATATTATTTATTAGTTCTTATTAAGATAAGTATTAATGTTTATTTTATTGTTTTCTACATTTTTTAGAAAAATGAAAATTTAAATGTGGCAATTGTAAGTTTGATTATATTGGGTTCACATATGTTTGGTTTAATTTTGTTACCAAATGTTGCTCCATCATACTTTACATACCTTTGGAATGATATGCCTACACACTATGCCATCTTATTTGGATATGGATTTATTTCTTTGTTAATTATTGGATTATTGCCAATTTTTCTAAAAAAGTGACTAAAACTTGTTTTTTTTTTTTCAATTTTAATTTTAATATATTTTTTTAGGAGCTTAAAGTTTTTTACAACATCTCACTGGGTTCTATTACATGTAATTTGTCTTCTAGAACTAGGTATAGGGCTCTTGTGCGTATCTATGCATAATTTCTCGTTTGGATTTTCAATGGCTCTTATTTATGTTATTCCAGCTGTTAGCACAAAACCAAATAACAATAAGTTAATATAAATCATAACATTTTTTATTGTATGTTGAATTTTAGTAATAATTATAATTTTTCAGGATTTTGGTAAAAATATTTTGGCTTCTTGTTCATCCTATATTTTTGCTATTTTGGATAACTTTATACTTCACTATCATAAACTATCCAGAATTCAATTTAATAGAGTATCTTTCTAAAACTATTGATGCTTCAGGACAATGGATTACACTTTCAGCTATAGACAATATGGTATATGGAAATTGGGTTTTTTCAGTTGCTGTTTTATTATTACTACCGGTTTGGTTGTCATTTTGGTGTCTCTTATTTCTTCCAGCTAATTGGAAAGATGACAAATTAAAAAAAGAATAGAGAAGATAATTTTACTTTTTAATTTTTTATTTATTCAATAATTTATTTACAATCACATTTAAAAGAAATAAAAAATATGATACATTTATCATTAAATTGTTTACATATTTACTTTATTATGAGTGAATGCACGTTTTACTTAAACTATAAAATATAAATATTTAATTATTTCTTATGTGTCTTCAATCAGTCATTAAATGAAAATCAAATTAGATTTTAAAAGGAAACGAAAAATTTATTAATTAATTTAATAGTACACAAAAATAAAGTATGCATATGTATAATACTGATGAAAAATTATTTTATTTGAATAAAGTATTTTTCAACCTAAAACGAGAGGTAGGAACTATATAAAAAAAAATCATAATTAAAATAAAAATAATTATAGAAAATACAGAAGAGTATTTTGGAAAATTAAAGTACCTAATATTGTATGCCATTTATCACAGGTACAACAAAAAGTTATTTTTAATAACCATAACAAAAATATTTGGAAAATGTTTCATAAAGAAAACATAATTGAGAAAATTACTTTAATAAAATTATAATTCATTAAAATAAGATTAACATTGCTCAATAACCAACTGCAAAAAATTGTACTGTAAGTAGATAAACTTGCTGAAGCCTGCTTATTAATAACAATATCACATAATAGTTAAATACATTTTGCATAATGCTATCAAATAAAATGTAAATAATACTGGTGATTTAATTTGAACTAATTTTACTTTTCTTAAGTACAAAAATATTAATATTGTTTTGTTTAAAAATTAAGTAGTTTGATGCTTGTTATAAAAAATTATACAATCAAAAAGAGCCACAGATTAATATTTATTATTAGTTTTTAATTAATACAAAATAATAAGTTTAGAAAGAAGTGTTTACCTATATCATTAAATGTTCAATTTCAACTAAACTATTGATTATTTAATAAAAATTAATAAGTTATATTGAATGTATATTAATAAATATTTAAACAAATTTTTCAAATGAAAAATTCTGTTTTAATCATATGGTTCAAAGAAACTTTTTTTTAATTTTAATTAATGAAATTTTTTGATGAATCTTTTACATTATTTGATTTACTCTAAAACTTAAATTTATTAGGCTATTATATAAAATTTCAAAATAATTAGTTTTATATGAATCAATATGTGGCAGTAATTGAACTTTTAAAGTGTTAAATTGTTTAAATATTAAACATTTCTTGAATTAGATTAAATGTTTAATATGTATTAGTAATTTGAATTATAAATATTGGTAACCAAAAAGTTAAGAGTGGCCTTATTGATCACATCAATAGTTATTGCGAGTATGTAAATTTGAAAATATTTCTATCTGAAACAAATAAAACACAATATAATTAAAAGTAATATATAATTTAAATTTTAATATACTTAAAATGTTTATTGTGGGGGTTGGCTGTAAATTTTTAATAGAGTATGTCTATTTTTGTCTCTTTCTTGTATATTTTTTTCTCTTTGATGTCTATCTTCATCTATTTTCATTTTTTCTATTACATTAGCAGACATAACTAATGGTGATTGTAAATGATAAAGTTGTGATGAATGTGAAATGTTATTATGGTGATATGGAGAAGGTGAAAATAAAGACATTCCACATCTTTCAAGGTATATTTGTTCTTCAATTCTATTTATGTTTAAAAACAAACAAATTAAATTACTTAAATTATTCTTAAATAAATTTTTAGGGTATAAAAATATGGGCGATTTTGTGTTAATACAGTTTATAATTTTGAGTTTTTTAAATCACTAATAACTTAAAGCAGTGTTTGAAAATGTCGTTCATAAATGCATATCCATATTTAGTGAATGTCGTCATGTTACTATCATTAGATTTTCATTTAGAATACATAGGAATCCCTATTTTTAGTTTAATGATTTGATAGAAAAAAACCAGCACAGTGAGGACAAGTATAGTTGATCAAAATTACTCTATTAAATACACTTAGATGCTAATCTGTAGATAGCATTTAATTTTTAAAATTAATTATTCAAAAAGCAACAAGAATTCCTATTTTCTTGTTTATAGCCTCATTAGTAGTTTTTTAATTTAAAAGTATAATATATGAATAAATACTAATTATAATAATTAAATTTAGTATGAAATTGATATTTAATAATCTAGTATTATAATATTTTGGGAGAAGGTCTTAAGGATGAATTAAAAAAATTATTTACTTTATAAACCAAGAAATATATAAACTAAAAAATACCATAAAGATTTTTTTTATCATAATTATTATTATAAGATAAATCTAGTGGATAGGAGTGGCTATTTTAAAAATCACCATGTTTTTTTGTTAACTAATTTATCATAAGACATTGATAGTAAAAACATTTTTTTTTTTTAAAGACAAGGTGATTCTTTTAATATTAGCCGCATGATTTATCTTAAAATAATAATTATATTAAGAATATTATAATTTTATATATTACTCAATATATTAAGTTTTTTTTTTAATTCATCCCTTATACTTTAAAGGGTTGATTATCAAAATTAAAGGCTTTAATGTAACAACCAAATAAGTTCAACTTTTCAAAAGATAATTTTTTGTTTATTTAAAAAGAAAATAAATTGTTTGACAAAAAACTTATATCAAGGCCAAAAATATACTTTACTAATGTAAATTTTTCATTAATTTAAAAACTGTAATTTGATTTTTTTTATTACCTTTAACTTTTGAGATCATTACTAATGAAAAATAATTCTAATCACAAATCTGAAATCAGGACGGAAAATTGATTTAGAAAAGTATATTTTTAGGTAACTTAATAATTATTTCAAATTTGCAAGATGATTCAAAAAGTTTTTTACTATAAATTTTTGTAAAAAATCATCTTTAAAATACTAAAAAATAGGTTTTGACATTTTGAATAAAAATTATGCAAAGATCATTTTAAACATGATAAAAATAAAAATCAATAATTTGGAAATTTTTTTTTTTTAATTAATTTTTTGATATATAAATACTTCTTTTCTATTAATTGTCATAGAAGTAAAAAAATATACTACTTTATCATTTTTACTTAAAAATTACAATATTAAATTAATAAATATCAATTTCATACTAAAATTAATTATTATAACTATTTATTCATATGATCTCTGTGTATAGGGGATAAGAGTACTTTGACAACCTTTCTACTAGTTACGATATTAATGATGTTACTTAAGATGGACAACTAGTGTAAAATTTTGTGAAAAACTATGAGTAGACCTGAACAAAACTTAGGTGATTGTGGCAACTCGGATGTATGTGGGGACAACATGTAAGAGGAAATAAATTAGTTACAGATAGAGAAGACCTAAATAATAAAGTGCTTGATACCAATCGAACAACTTGAGTGGTAGCTGTTTCACCAATTATGTGTACAGACCTTCCTAACGTTTTTGGTGTCAACAATGTAGGGACATCATTACTCAACTCTAGGCTGAACTCATGTATAGGCAAGAAAGATAGATTCAAAGTAAAAATAGGTAGTAAGGCACATTGTTGTGAGTTTATAAATACACCAACTGGCAATACAGAAAGTATATCTATTGATAGTCATAATTGACAATAAACACTCCGTGACTGTGATAGCGATGTCATAAAAAACCAATTAGCTACCTGTATTTGTAATGCCTTATGTATTATACATGTGCATTAACTCAACAATTTTATATTTAATAAATGAATAGTTATTTTAAAAATTTATATGCCTTTTGCTAATAAATTAAAACTCAAATATTTCATTTAACTTAAAATATGTGTTCCCATTAAAAAAAATTAAGTTAAGACCCTTATAAGGGATAAGGGATGAACTTAAAAAGTATTGCCAACAATTCAAAAATATTCTGTAAGTAATTGAGTGGAGAGTTATGATAAAAAAGACTCTGTATATAATTTTGGTAATAATTAATCCTTAAAGTTTCTTTGATTGTCAAAATATGTCAGTTTTAATGTTTGATAACCTGTTAAATTCTTAATTTTTAAATAGCAAATTATCTAATTTTCGGTACATATATTATTAAATATTAATAATTGTAATTTTTTTGTATTATCCAATAAAATATTTGTTTAAATTTGAGCAGTGTTACTCCAGGAAAATGTTAGTGTTGCACAGTTTATCAACTGCTTTTATAGTGTTTTAAATAAAATAACTTTATTTTATTTTTAGTCTGTGCCTTTATTTTAGTTTTGAGTCTTTAAAAAAATGATATTTATGGACCAATTTTTACGGATAATGATTTTATATTATATAAAGCAATTTCAATTGAACACTTCATAATATACAATAAATGAGATGTGCATTCATACCGATTAATGTGTTTAAATGCTACTATTACCAATAATTTAAAAATATTAAAAAAAAATAAACAATATCATCTTTAATTAAATTTCATTAATATTTCTAAATCATTCATTATTTAATAAAAAAAATTTAATTAATGTTTGGATAATGTTACAATAGATACAAAATAAGAATAGGTACTTGGAATGTTGGAACATTAACTGGTAGAAGTAGAGAATTAATAGAAGTATTGAAGAGGAGAAAAGTTAATATTTCTTGTGTGCAGAAAACTAAGTAGAAGGGAGAGAAAGCAAGAGAAATAGATGAGTATTATAAAATAATATACTCAGGTAAGACTAATAGAAAGAATGGAGTAGGGATAATAATGAACAAGGAGATGAAAGGAAAAATGACAGAATTATAATCGTAGAGTGAATTTTTGAAAAAAGTGTTGAATGTAGTGTTTATGCACCACAAGTAGGTTGTGATGAAATAAACTAAGAAGTGTTTTGAAGAACGATGGATGAGATGATGCAAGGAATACTTAGTAATGAGGATGCGGTGATAGATGGAGATATAAATGGGCATATCGGTAATGAGAGGAGAGGATATGAAAGAATACATGGAGGGTATGGTTTTAGTGGAAATGATACTGGAGAAAGTATATTTAGTAATATATAGAAGTACATATAATGTATGGAGAAAATATTTCGCAGTATCATATGATCTTGCTATGATTAATACTTATTTTAGAAAGAGATAAGAACATTATATAACATATAAAAGTGGGAGGAATAAATCACAGAACGATTATTTTATGAGAAAGAGAGAGAACGTAAAGCGAGTAAAAGATTGTAAAGTTATACCAGGCGAGAGTGTAACTACACAACATAGACTATGGTAATGGAATTATGGTTTAGAGGGAAGAAAATATACAAAAACAGAATGAACACAGGAGAAGAATCGAGGTAGTCGAAAATTAAAAGGGGAAAAAGAGTATGTAAAGACAGTAAAATAAAATATTAAGAAAGATCGATAGGCTAAATATTGTTAAAAATATTTTATAATGACATTAACCGATTTTTTCCAGAAAAAATAATTTGTATTCTATTTAATTTTTTTTAATAAATGTATTGGAAGAATATGTTAAACTCAACCCAATCTGACTATCATTCTATATTATTAAAAGTATTCATTTTATAATAAGAGCCACAATTCTTTGAGCAATGTGATAATAAAAAATTAAAAAAAAAACCCTAATCATTTTAAGTATTTGTGGATTTCCATGTTGTAAACCCCACCCCCTTTTTTTTTTTGAGAAACCTTAATTTTTAAGTTTTAAATTAAATTAGCAACCTTTAATGACCTAAAAATTTACAGATAATTTTAACAATAAATGAGAGCTGATTTCACTTCAGTATTTTATAAATTTGACAAAAACTTTTAGGTAGGATACCTTAAGGTTATCATTCATTATTTAAGTTTTCAAATTTTTGAACCATAATATTTTTCAAAAATTTATTTAATATATTATATAAAAACAAACTAGTAATATTTTAAATAAAATTTGGTATCAAAACATATAGCATCTATTTATAAAATTTATCATTTTACACAATGTTTGTTCTTTACACCTAAAAGTTGAAGTATTATAATGAAAAAAATTAGGCGTCTATGCCTGGTATTTCTGCACAAAAAATTAATTACCTGAAAGCATGTTGAAGATGGGGAGAATACAAGTTAGCTGCATGATAAGGTGAATATGAATTAGGATTAACTATTAAATGAGATTGTGTAGACACTGATGTAGGCATCAATGATCTTGAATCATTTGATTTGTAAGGTTGAAAGCCACTCAGTTTTGATTCCTTAAAAAAATACTATAATTACTAATCAATCTAATTATATTTAATTATTAAAAAGTAAGAATCAGATAATATTAATGCAAATTTTGTCAAAATTTGTTCAGCTTATGAAATACAGAATACATAAACAATATATCAAAAACTGTATGCAATACATGGAAGAAAATTATTTGAAAAAAGATATAAATATAAATTAAGATATCACACATAATACATTTTTCATATTATAATTGTTGCTAAACATATTTTTAGATTCAATGTGAAGTTGAGAAATTCTTGACTTTACCATGATGTGTGTTTTTGTGACTATTCATAAAAGTTTTCAGTTCTACTGGATGTATTTTGTTGATCATTGCATTAAAATAACCCAATTTTAATTTAGTTGAACCTATCAGTGCTAAAAATTGAAAGAAAAACTTCAAATTTAAAAAAATATTTGTAAAGAAAGTCAGAATTTTTTGTTTTGTTTTAAAACTGCAATATTTTTTATCAAACATTTTAATAAAATATATTAAAGACAATAAGCTTTTTTTTGTACAAAGCTTATGCTATTTATGAAAATCCAATGAAAAACTTACAGGAAACCACTAACGTATTCAAAACATTTTTTTTTATCATTTATGCATGTCAATTGCAGATTTGAAACCAATGCCAAAAATTGGTTAAGAAATGTATATTTTTATCTCTGATGAGTTAAAAAAAAAAGTATCATTTTATTCACTAATGCAATTATTTTTTAAGGTAAATTTTAAAAATTTGGATAGAAGGATAATATACTGGAAAAATATTTGTATCTCTATGTTAACCATAGTAAATGATGCTGTCAGGCAGAGAATCAAAATTTTTTTTGAAGGAATCATTTTTCAAAAAATATTTTTTTAAATTCTTAATTTAGGAACAAAAACCTAAAAAGAATCCACAATTTTTAAAGTTTATTTGATATGATGAGATACATATCTCAAACATTTTAAAATATATAATTTTATTGCACTTATTTTGGAGGGTAGTCAGTGGATGACCCCTTCCTCAATGCAGTATCTGTCATTGGGTTAAAGCTGAGCTATTTTGGTTTAAAACTTTCATAATGTAGTAATTAGATGAGGAAGTATTGAATTACGTCGATTTTAGTATAATATAAGCTTTACAATAGTAGTAAGCAATTTTTGAACTCTTAAGCAATATAATAATTCCATATAAAAAGGAAATGCAGGGTAAGCAAATTAATAATGGTGGGAAAAAGAATATAAAAGGGAAACATGAAAAGTGTAGGGGGACGATACTGGGCGAGACGGGATTGGACGTTTTGTCTAAGAAACGTCGAGTTACGAGTTAGGTCGTTGGTGTAAGAATAACTTCATATTTTTGTAAGATTTAATTAATTTTTGTGTTAAATTTTTATATTATATTTGACTTTGTGTTTAATACGTTTCTTAAATAAAATAACTATTTAAAAATCTGGGCTTAGCGCAAATATTTTATATTCACTGTATTCTTAGAATTTGTGTGTGTGTGTGCGGCTAGAGTCTAGGTTGGACTGCTGGTCCTTTAGTCAATCTTAATAATTAGTGAACGAGCTGGCTAGTTTTTGGACTTAACCATCCTTTAGTGGGTATAGTAAAAAAGTAGTTGTGCTGGTGGCTGACAAGGAGCCACCCTTCAGTCTGCTACTTTTAAGCTAGACTGTGCTGACGGGTCTAAACTCTACCCCTTTAGTATTCCACTAATTAGAGGAATTGGGGCTGATCAGTTTATCCAACAGGAGGACTCAAGAAGAGCTCGAACGATGAACTCGTCGTCAATATATATATATAAAACATTAATAAATTTGTGTTAAACTTTTGTGTCTACGTTGGGGCACTACCGACGTACGACAATAACATGCACTAAAGATATTTTTCAGTTTTTACAAAAAAAAAAATTTTAATAAAATTTTGAGCTCTTATTATCTCATATTATGTTTTTAATAAACTTGCAGGTTAACACATCTAAAATATTTGGTAACCAAATAATTATCTAAAATAAATATTTATATTTGTCTATTTTAAATTAAGTTATTATTATAGAGACTTACGTTATGGAGTGATGACTTGTTTATAGGTGGTGTTACGAGTCTACTTATCAAAGTTCCTTGTTTGTGTGTTTCTAAAGAATCTCTAGTTTCATCTTTGTCTAAAAATATTTTTTCAAGTATGAACATATTTAAAATTATAAAATAAATCTATAAAATCTAATGGGTCATCAGAATTTTAACAACCCGTGTTTTTCCAAAATGTGATACTTTACACATAGTGATTTATAAATATTTATTTTGCAAGAATATTAAAATTTTCATTAAAAACTCGTTAAAATAAGAATAACAAGGACAACTATTTAACAAATATCAATTTGTATTTCGCGCAAACTTAGTTGTGATTCTTTTGTAGCAACAAGTTTTTTAGGAAAGCTAATTTTTGTGATAAGAAAAATAAATATATAAACCTATTTAACAATTGATCTATTAAAAAAGATAACTATGGTCCAATAAATTTACATCCTGTATTATATAACGTTACAACATTTATATTTCTAATTTTAAATTATATTACCATTAGAATTTGTTAGAGGTGGTATAGCTTGTTTTGCAAGATTTCTTAATGCAGCAGCAAATGAACGACCATTGGGTGTTGGAGGAAAAGTTTGGCCTACAAATTTAAAATTAAAATTCTGGATCTTAAATTATATAACTAAATATATACAAAATGATCGGTTTATCATAAACTACTAGATTATTTGATGAAAAATAAGCATAATGAAAAAAAAAAAATTTAATTTATTTTAGTTACACATAATTCTAGATTTGTCAGCTAACATTTATTTTTTAGAATCATCCCTTATATTTTAAATGGGTGTGAACTTTATTTCTTTAAATAGTATCATAAATATTTAATTAACTAATAAAATATAAGACTATTTGATTAATAGGATGACTGGTCAACAACTGTTGGACTAGTACTTTGGATGTTACTCTCATTTTTATACCAAGGTAGGATGAAGAAATCAGTTGAGTTGGCCAAACCGAACTCTTTTATTTTCATTACTTTAAATTGTTAATAACTTCTGAAATACTAATCCAAAAGTTGTAGTCGACCAATCATTTTCTATTTTATAAGCTAGTTAAATAATTTATATTTAACTAGCTTTTTGCTAGTTGCTATTGAAATAAATAAAATTGTCACCCCTTTAAATTATAAGGGACGATTCTAAAAAGTAATTATTAGATGATATATATATATATACAGAGTGATTTTTTTATCATAACCCACTCAATTACTTGCAGAATAATAATAATTTAAACATTTTTTTTTTCATTATCTTTAGTTACACAATATTCTTGAATTTTTAACTATATAATACTTTTTAAGTTCATCCCTTGTGCCTTGGAGGGGGGTCAACTTTGTTTTTTTAAATGGTAACACATATTTTTAATTTAATAAAATGTTTGAGTTTTTAATTTAATAGTAAATGGCATTTCAATTTTTAATATAACTTTATTAGCTTATTAGATATAAACATTTAAAGTTTCAAAATTTTGAGTTAATATACATGTATAATACACATGGGATTGTAAATACAGGTAGCTAATTGGATTTTTATGACATTGCTGTCTCAGTCACGGATTGTTTATTATCAATTATGATTATCAATAGATATACTTTCTGTATTGTCAGTTAGTGTATTTATAAACTCATAACAATGTGCCTTACTACAATTGATAATAACAATGCTGTGTACCTGCTAATATCGATGTTATAAAAAACCAATTAGCTACCTGTATTTGTAATCCCTTGTGTATTATACCTGTATATTAATTCAAAAATTTGAAACTTTAAATGATTATATCTAATAAACGAATTAAGTTATATTAAAAATTCAAATGCCATTTACTATTAAATTAAAAACTCAAACATTTTATTAAATTAAAAATATGTGTTACCATTTAAAAAAACAAAGTTGACCCCCCTCCAAGGCATAAGGGATGAACTTAAAAAGTATTACATAGTTAAAAATTCAAGAATATTGTGTAACTAAAGATAATGAAAAAAAAAATGTTTAAATTATTATTATTCTGCAAGTAATTGAGTGGGTTATGATAAAAAAATCACCCTGTATATATATATAGATGTAAACATTTTTTTCAATATTATCTTCATTTCGTGAGTAATTTAGTACAGTAGAGTAATTTATAATTAACAGATCATCTTGTATATTGTAAATTAAATCACTATCAATAATTGAATTATTAATAAACTTTTCATATTAGAAAATCCATAAAATTCCAAATTTCATAAAATACTGAACATATTAATATGAAATCTACCAACCTGTATCAAATTTTGAATTATATAGATTAAAATTTTGAACCAATAGTTTTGAATTATCTAAAGTTTGGTGTTGCTTAATTTTCCGCACAGCTTTATTTGTTAGGTTACCCTTTAAATTTCAATCAATATATATAATATATATATTAATATTTATAAAGTACAATCATTATAAACAGAGTTTTAAGATATTAAACATTAACATTTTTAGAATTTTTATTTATTATAAATAATATAAATAAAATTAAAAAATGTTGACAATTTTTTTTTTAGTATAGAGAGGAACATATGCAAGTAAGAACTCTTATACTTTTGATTTAATTATAATTTTTTAAAATAATTTATGAAGTTTATACTACATTACTACATTATAATAATTATTCAATTTTAATAATAAAAAAAAGTTCAATTTTTTTAAAATTTTAAATTGAAAAGAAAAGAACATTAGGAAATTCAGTAAAGTGGAGTTGGGATATTTTTTAAATTAGTATTGGTTTACAGTGATTAAAATAACTGCTGTCAAATTCATCTAATATAAATTTCTTAACAAAACTATTACTTTAAGAAAAATAATGTAGCTAGTATTAAAAATTCAGTGCATTGATCACATAATAGATTAATATAATATTAAAATTATTAACGTTTATAAAAATTAGTAACTGTTGTAACAATTATAGTTTATTATTTAGCGAAAAAATGTTTAGAAACAGGGAACTAATTACAATGTTTGTTTAACAAAATCTAGTTTTATTTTGAGCGTTAAAACATTTATATTGCTTTATGAAATAATTAGTAAAAAATTTTAATAATACCCAACCTTTTTTACGCTATGACAATAGCCTTAAATTATAAGAGTTTTCTGAAAAAATTAGCTTAATACGATTACTACTGGAAAACTTGATACTTCAATCACCAGAGCATATGTATTTAAATTTATATAATGTATATTATTAATTAGGAGTTTATTGTTATAATAATAATAAGTTATTTAAGTTCTGGAATAACGATTATTATAAATATTTAAATAAAACCTATTTAATTTTAGAAGATATGTTCATTATAATAAGGAAATATTGATGATAACAATAACTATTATTAGTCAACACTATTTTTAAAATTACCTGTGTTTTATCAACTAAGGTATTTTTTTTAATTGATTGGTAATCATTATTATCTTGATGGTTTATTATCTTAGTAAAGTTAAAATTTTGATAACTTTTCTTATCTAATGTTACTCCAAAACATTCATATTCAATTGCCTGTACATAAATGGTTTCATAACATTCAAAACAAACCACAGCATATTCACCATTTTCAAGTAATAACGCTTGGCTTTTAATTTGAAGATGGAACCGCAAAGATGGATAATTCTGAAAATTTATTAAGTAAATAAAGTTATCATACTTACATACAAAGGTTAATGTTTAAATATATTTTATCAGTATAGTACTCACATTAATTGCTAAGGATCGGACATTGTGACGTACACTTATTTGTGTGCAAACATAGCAAGAATACTCTTTATGGTTGTAGGTACGTTGATGTTGAGGAATTGGAATTGTAGCCGATTCAAATTCGCGCCATTGAGCAACAAAACCATGATAACAAAAAGTACATACTAAAGCAGAACCATCTTCACGTAATTGTTCTGATCCTTCTATTGGTTCATGTTTTAAAAGGTAAGGAAAATATGGAGCATTTCTACCCTGAAATTATAAAAATGAAAAAAAAAGCATATTGATATTATTAAAATTATTAAAAATACTTGTGGATGACTGTATAGAACTCTGGCATAAGTTAAATCTGAATGGTAGCTGCATAAGAAACAATATATAGATGAAATTTCATTTCGATTGGAAATTTGTTGAGAGTTATAATTATTATCACCCAAACTAGGAACATTATACCTTTAAAAAAAAGTTTTGAATGAATTAAATTTATTCAGGTTAGTTTCTCATAAAAAATATAGCTTAAATTTAAGACAGTTTTCATTTAAAATAAAATGTATTTATTATACCACTTAAAAATATAAAAATAAATATTTTAATAAAATTATGAGTTATACCTTCTATGTTCTAAAGGAATCCTATTACTTTCCATAGAATTCCATTGGGCAGCTAATTGCTGAGTACAATTTGTACAAGATAAAACTCTTCCTTGAGATTCAATGCAAGTACTCTCAGAAGCTCTAAAATTAATTATGTTTTTTTTTATTTTCTATTCAACACAAAAATATTAATAGAATAAAAAATTTATTAACACTATGGTTTCACACTTCTCCATTTACATTAGTAAGACTTTTTTTCATAAAATAACCATACAGCAATAATTTTTTTCTTTGTACTTCTCAACTGTATTTTTTAACCCCTTTATCTTATTTCTACCTTTAGAAAAGTTTTAAACATTATTAATTAATTAATTTTTAATTATCAATAATGACTTTTTCCTAAAAAGTTCTAGTTAAGAGTATTATAGGTTATTATTTACAAAAAATAATATATTACTAAAATTAATTTTGTAATGGTAGCTTAGTATTTTCAGTATGTAAGAAAACTATTAAAAAAACGATTGTCATCAATTATTCTGATACTTTTAAAAAATAAAAATTTTTGTTTAATTCTTCATCTAGTTTTTTAAATAACATAAATTGTAAAGATTAAAATTTAATTTAACTAGGGCTCAAACATAAATACTCATACAAAAAGCATTAAAAAATATCACATTTTTTTTTAAATAGAGCATATATATATTTATAATCTGTAAACAAATGTCATTATAAAAATAATCATATGTAAAAAAAATATTAATTTCCATTTTCAATAAACCATAATTCATAATATAAAATATAAATTATAAATTTAAAAAATATATAAAATTTAAAAGCACAATTAGTAAATTCATTACTTATAAAAAAAGTTCGTTATAAATCATTTTTTTAAATGAATTTATTTAAGATTTCACTTTATGGTATATCTAAATAAGCGATAAAAAAAAAAAAAAAAAACAAATAAATGTTTTGTTTTTAGTAAATCTTAATCTCATTATTTAAATTTAGTGTTTGAAGAGCATTATCTACGATAAATAGAAAAAATCAAAATGCATTGAAATTTGAGCCCTATTGATAACACATTAATGGTTAAATTTATTTAGAATACTTTAGTCATATTTCAGGAACTTGTAATAAAATTTAGTTTAGTGAATTTAGGTAAAAATAACTTTTGATATTAATTCATATAACAAAATACCAGTTTATATAAAAAATTGTACAAATTTATGTACTATATCATCAATATTAACCTCGATAGTTCTTTGAGACAAGGAAAATGCATAGCATGAGAATTCATCCCTTCAGTAGTAGTAGACAGCCATTTTAATTTTGAATGAGGTTGCATTTCATAACAAACATAGCATCTAAAGCTATTTCTATTTAAAATAAAATCAGTTCCTTCATTATCAGTTAAATCGATAGTAACCTGTACAAATAAATAAATCAATTAAAATAACTAGGTAAAATATAATTCTCAATAATTAACAACTAAAAATGTTAACTAACATTTGAAGTACTTTGATGTGATACTGATTTAGTAAGTGAATGAAATTTATTTGATTTGGTTATATCATAAGGTCGAAAACGAATATCAGGTGACTTAGCTGATAAAAGAGATGGAGATGTAGATGAACCAACTGGTAAATCCATCAACATAGTAACTTGATGTTTTTGAGGAACAGATTTAAAACAAACAGCACATACCTAAATGATAAATAAATTGCTAATATCTTATTTTAGACAAATAGTTTATTTTATTCAATCTGATAACCTGAACTGTGCCCTGTGATGATATTGGAAGGGCACCAGGTGGAGTTTTTATTTTTGTTAATGATGGATAGTAAGGTTTATGATTATTATTTGGATAACAGTATAGAGTTCTGTAACAAAAAATATATTTAACAATAAAATAAAATATAAACATATTTGTAATTATACATACCTCATTGATAGTAAAGGATACTCAAGTGAACAAGTAAAGCAAATAAAAGTAGATGTATCTATAAAAGGAATCAATCTTTTACGGAGAATATAATTTCTTTCTCCATGAGGAATGCCTTTTGATGTGTAAACCTAAGAAAGTAAAATTTACAATAGACTAAAATAAATAAAAAGTAATAACTTCATTAAACAAATTTTAATAAATTAATTTAACTTTATTTACAGCAGTTATATAATAGGTGATTGTAAGTTAAACTAGACCCATTAATTCATTTAATTAATAATAATATTTAATATTGTTTAGTCTAATAATTAATGAGACCAAGCAAAAATATATTATATCACATATTTAGATATTTAAATTAATTAATTTAGTTATAGTTTATTATAATTTTAATAAGTATTTATAATTGAATTTATTTGATAAATAGAGGGTTAGAGGGTGAATGCACACATGTGCAGTACCTCCCCTCAATGTAATATATAAAAAAATCTATGTATTAAATTTATAAAACTTATAATCAGGACATAAATAAAAATATATGAGTTTTTGTTGCTTATGGAATAATTCAACAATTTTTTCTAAAATGAAACGACACAGATTTGAATCTAAGCATTTTTCACTATTTTAATTACTGTCAGATATCATCCAACATGTTTCAACTATACCCTAACCATACTGTAGCACAACCCCACTATGCTACCTTTCTTTAAAAGAGGGGTTTAAATGGGATATTTACCCCTATCTACTAATATAAGTCTTTTAGCCTTATTGGATTTCTCTCGATGATGATTTTTTACACTACAATAATATCTGTTGTTTACATTAAGAAGCTTTTTATATATTGAAGACAAAATGTTAAAATTTTTTTTTTTTTTAACTTATAATAAATAGCACAAGATTTAATTTAACATGTCTTTTAACTCGATAGTATTTCCAGAACATTTTTAAAAGTTTAGTCGAAATAGTACTTCTTTTTATACATGTTTCAAGTTTTGAACTCTTCTATATGAGCAAATGGTCAGATTTTAAAAAAAGTATGTAAGAAGTATGTATAAAATACATACATTTTAAAAAAATTATAGAAATTTAAAATTTAAAATATAAAATCAAAAATTTTAATATAAAAATAGCATGATTTTTAACCACGGCAATTATATGCACATAGGTGATAAGTCATAAAGGAATTTTTTTTTTAATTTATAGTATGTAACATAAGCTTTAATTTAATTTAATTTAATGTTTGAGGCTCAGTATTTTAAGAACATTTTCAATAGTTAAAATAATAAACTTTTTATGCAATAGTTGCAATTTTTAATACCCCTTGTGGCCAGATAAAAGGTTAGATATCTAAAAAAGATATACCTAAAAAAAAAGGAAATACCTTAAGTATTTATAAACATATTTATACATCTAATTTTAAAAAAACTATAGCACTTTTAAGAAAAAAAAGTTTGAAAAATATCAAAATTTACCGATTTTAAAAGTTTTAATTTTTGGAGAGATTTCTCTCATTTAAGGGGAACAAAGGAAAAATGTTCAATTTTTAAGGGTGATGTCTTCAACCATGTATGACTTGTGATCTTTTGACACATTGTTGACACAAAAGCGTTTAATTGTGTTTGCGCCACACTCAAACTTAAACATAGCGCGAGATTAGTCGATTGTACTAAACTCCCTTTCATCTCCCAGTCATTAGACAGTATCAGCTGCTTATTACATGGTCTGCGGCTGGATGACATCATATATAATGTAAAATGTAATGTAGTTTAAAATAGATTATAATATAGAAAAAGTTTTAGTTGTTCTGGAATAAAATTGCACATTTATTATATCAATTAAGTAATAGTTACATTGTAAAATATTGAATATTCTAATAGTTATTTTTTATGTTGTTGAATTAATAACATTAAACCTGTAGGTAATAATTTAAGGTAAATTAATTTTACACTAATTATATTCCAACAAATTTGCACAAACTTGGGTTCTTTTAAGATGGCTTTTTTAATTAAAACACAGCTCGACAACATTTTTTTTTCTGATATTTACTTTTGTAATGAACTTTATATTTTCTATGCTATGGTTATATATTGTTCAAAAATCAATATTTTAACTATACATTAGAGAGGATCTAACTCAGCAGGGGTTTATAAGGCATGGTATTTAATATTAATTTTAAAAATTATAATAAAATCACTATAAATGATTATTGAAAAATTATACGGCTTTACAAAATTTGGGTCATAGAATGTTTATGAACATTTTTTTTGATGCTGATGATTAGGTTAGGCTTACAAATATAATTAAGAAGCATTAAAAAATATATGTTATTATTTTTTTAATTAACAGTTTTTGCGAGAACAGTTATCTTAAAAATAATCAAATTATGACTAAAGTATTGGTAAAGAGAGAAAGGAAAACATGATATATTCAATAAAATTAAATTAAAACTCAGCCTATTACCTGTATTCCAAGGCACAATGTATTAATGTCTAAACTATATGGGCTGCTTTACTAAAAATAATAATAATTCAATAACAGATTGTTAGACTTTTTGTTTTTCTCCTGAGTATGGGTATAATGATGTAAACTATGTATAGTTAAAATATTGATTTTTGAATAACATATAACCATAGCATAGAAAATATGAAGTTTTTACTATTTACTAATAATTAACTAATAACAATAATTTTTTTAAGACTCTTAATTTTTAATAGATAAATAATAATTAATAAAAATAAATATTAATATTAATATTAGTTTATTTTTTATGATTTAGTTATTTACTTAACTATTTGTCTTTACCTGCCATTGGTTTAATAGATGAGTGTGACAAACAGAACATGTTTGCACACGTCCAGTGCTATCCATTGGTCTAGATCGAGGAGGTCTAGAATGTAACATAAGACTGGGGAAGAAAGGTTGATTGGATTGGTTAACAAGTACTAAAGGTTTAGCTGAAACATGTGTTAAAGAACCTCTTCGAAACTCATCTCCACATACATAACAAACTTCAGTTGAAGAATTTTTGTCTGGCATTGAAAGATCTAAAATATCTGTACCACTGCTACTAGTATAACTACCTGTACAACAAAAAAAAAAAAATAATATATCAAACAGTATAAGACAAAAGATGATAACATTATTCAAACATTCTTCTTCTTCTTCTTCCTCGCCTTAATCCTAACCACTTGGGGTCAGCCACCCTTATCTTAAACTTCCACTTGACACGATCACTCACATCATCTACTCTCATATTGCCATCTTCATATCGTATTCAATTACATGCCTCCATCTCGTTTTTTGGTTATTTTTTTCATTATAATACTTCAACTTTTAGGTGTAAAGAACAAACATTGTGTAAAATGATAAATTTTATAAATAGATGCTATATGTTTTGATACCAAATTTTATTTAAAATATTACTAGTTTGTTTTTATATAATATATTAAATAAATTTTTGAAAAATATTATGGTTCAAAAATTTGAAAACTTAAATAATGAATGATAACCTTAAGGTATCCTACCTAAAAGTTTTTGTCAAATTTATAAAATACTGAAGTGAAATCAGCTCTCATTTATTGTTAAAATTATCTGTAAATTTTTAGGTCATTAAAGGTTGCTAATTTAATTTAAAACTTAAAAATTAAGGTTTCTCAAAAAAAAAAAGGGGGTGGGGTTTACAACATGGAAATCCACAAATACTTAAAATGATTAGGGTTTTTTTTTTAATTTTTTATTATCACATTGCTCAAAGAATTGTGGCTCTTATTATAAAATGAATACTTTTAATAATATAGAATGATAGTCAGATTGGGTTGAGTTTAACATATTCTTCCAATACATTTATTAAAAAAAATTAAATAGAATACAAATTATTTTTTCTGGAAAAAATCGGTTAATGTCATTATAAAATATTTTTAACAATATTTAGCCTATCGATCTTTCTTAATATTTTATTTTACTGTCTTTACATACTCTTTTTCCCCTTTTAATTTTCGACTACCTCGATTCTTCTCCTGTGTTCATTCTGTTTTTGTATATTTTCTTCCCTCTAAACCATAATTCCATTACCATAGTCTATGTTGTGTAGTTACACTCTCGCCTGGTATAACTTTACAATCTTTTACTCGCTTTACGTTCTCTCTCTTTCTCATAAAATAATCGTTCTGTGATTTATTCCTCCCACTTTTATATGTTATATAATGTTCTTATCTCTTTCTAAAATAAGTATTAATCATAGCAAGATCATATGATACTGCGAAATATTTTCTCCATACATTATATGTACTTCTATATATTACTAAATATACTTTCTCCAGTATCATTTCCACTAAAACCATACCCTCCATGTATTCTTTCATATCCTCTCCTCTCATTACCGATATGCCCATTTATATCTCCATCTATCACCGCATCCTCATTACTAAGTATTCCTTGCATCATCTCATCCATCGTTCTTCAAAACACTTCTTAGTTTATTTCATCACAACCTACTTGTGGTGCATAAACACTACATTCAACACTTTTTTCAAAAATTCACTCTACGATTATAATTCTGTCATTTTTCCTTTCATCTCCTTGTTCATTATTATCCCTACTCCATTCTTTCTATTAGTCTTACCTGAGTATATTATTTTATAATACTCATCTATTTCTCTTGCTTTCTCTCCCTTCTACTTAGTTTTCTGCACACAAGAAATATTAACTTTTCTCCTCTTCAATACTTCTATTAATTCTCTACTTCTACCAGTTAATGTTCCAACATTCCAAGTACCTATTCTTATTTTGTATCTATTGTAACATTATCCAAACATTAATTAAATTTTTTTTATTAAATAATGAATGATTTAGAAATATTAATGAAATTTAATTAAAGATGATATTGTTTATTTTTTTTTAATATTTTTAAATTATTGGTAATAGTAGCATTTAAACACATTAATCGGTATGAATGCACATCTCATTTATTGTATATTATGAAGTGTTCAATTGAAATTGCTTTATATAATATAAAATCATTATCCGTAAAAATTGGTCCATAAATATCATTTTTTTAAAGACTCAAAACTAAAATAAAGGCACAGACTAAAAATAAAATAAAGTTATTTTATTTAAAACACTATAAAAGCAGTTGATAAACTGTGCAACACTAACATTTTCCTGGAGTAACACTGCTCAAATTTAAACAAATATTTTATTGGATAATACAAAAAAATTACAATTATTAATATTTAATAATATATGTACCGAAAATTAGATAATTTGCTATTTAAAAATTAAGAATTTAACAGGTTATCAAACATTAAAACTGACATATTTTGACAATCAAAGAAACTTTAAGGATTAATTATTACCAAAATTATATACAGAGTCTTTTTTATCATAACTCTCCACTCAATTACTTACAGAATATTTTTGAATTGTTGGCAATACTTTTTAAGTTCATCCCTTATCCCTTATAAGGGTCTTAACTTAATTTTTTTTAATGGGAACACATATTTTAAGTTAAATGAAATATTTGAGTTTTAATTTATTAGCAAAAGGCATATAAATTTTTAAAATAACTATTCATTTATTAAATATAAAATTGTTGAGTTAATGCACATGTATAATACATAAGGCATTACAAATATCTACAGGTGCCTCGAAAGGGGTCACGTGCAAACGGCCAGTAGCGGTCCAGACCGGACCGGCGCGTGCTTCACGTGCAAAGAGGAGGGCCACCGGTCAAGGGACTGTCCCAAGAAGGTGGGAGGGCCGGAGAAGACCTCATAAAGTATCTCCTGTCCTCACTCTATTTTGTGTGATATGTGTTTTGTGAATTATTATCTAAGCCAACCCTCGCGAAGTCCTGCCCCCACCTCCACGTGGTGCAGCCCGGGCAGCGGATCCCACCTTTTGGGATCCGGCTAACGGGGGAGGCCACACCACGTTGTGAATCAGCTCTCGATTAATTTCGGGCTGATTCACAATGTGGTGGTGTGAATTTTAGACGGCGTGGGCCGCCCTTAAGCAATACCTCGCGGTAGTTCCAGGGCGGTCCACATCATGCCGGATGTGGGAAAAAAAAAAAAAAAAGAGGCATTACAAATATAGGTAGCTAATTGGTTTTTTATGACATCGCTATCACAGTCACGGAGTGTTTATTGTCAATTATGACTATCAATAGATATACTTTCTGTATTGCCAGTTGGTGTATTTATAAACTCACAACAATGTGCCTTACTTAGTTACCTGTATTTGTTATGCTTTGTGTATTATATATGTATATTGACTCAAAAATTTTAAACTTTAAAACTTTATATTTAATAAACGAATAAAGTTGTATTAAAAACTTTAATGTCATTTACTAATAAATTAAAAACTCAAAAATTTTATTATTTCTTTAAAAATACAATACAAGTCTAAAAGGTGATTATTTTAGAATAGCCACTCAATTTTACTTAAATTAACGATTCTTTAATATCCATATATATATATGTTATAAAATACTTTTTATATTTATCTATTATTTTTTATAGGTATTAACTTTATTTTTGTTTAATGCAAACAAACATATTTAACTAGCTTACAAGATAAAAAAATCATGTATTCAAGAAAATGACTAATCAACTACAATTTTTGGACCCGTATTTCAAAAGTTTTTAACAATTTAAAGTAATAACTGAAGGTGAGGCATGAGTGCTGCTATTTTTATTATTAGACATTTCTCGGCCTTGCTCCAACCAGGTATAAATATGTTACACTGTATATTCATAAATAAATATTTGTCAAAAACTGAAATCATTATGATTCCTGTCTATCATTTATAAACATATAAAAATATTGTCAAACAAAACCTGGATTTGAATGAGGAGTACTTGAATTTATTATATTTGAACCATTAAGCTGAGTTATTTGATCAGATAAATTAGATATCGACGTTGGTTGTATTTTGGTACTTCTGCTATCTTCACCAGTAATTTGTGACATTGCAGAAGACATCACAGTATCTTTATGACTACATTCAAAATAAAATAAATACAATTATAGCATACAATATATTAATATTAAAACAAAGACTTTTTTTTTGTCAAGACCATCCTTAGCTAGAATAACTGTTCTTAAGTTTTAAATATTTTATATATATATATTAAATTAAAGCTTATGTATTTTACTTATATTAAAGAGAAATTATGTATAATTTAAAAATACAATTACCTAACTTTGATGCAAAGCTGAGAAGATATTGTATTCAACATAATTTTTTTTTTCATCTGTTTATAAAAATCAATCCTCACTGAATATTTTATACATCAAAAGAACTTTAATTTAATCTAGTTGAAACTATCAACTTCAAAAATTAAATAGTAATATATCTCTACTAATTTATTTACTTAGAAAATATCTTAAAATTGGGCAATCGATGAATAATATGACAAAATTTTGCATTTTAAAATTTATTTATTTTTTTTAATCTTTTTTAAAAATACATTAATTAATGGAATAATTTTATGAAGGAAACTATAAACAATGACTTACTTTTAAGTTGACTTAATAAAAAATATAATAATAAAAACTGAATTTAAAGAAGGGTTTATATACAAAAACATACCACAACAATTTTAACAATTATGAAAATGTTCTGAAATATCTGTGCCCTTTAAACCTATATCAAAGCTTTTAAAATAAAACATAAGATTAAAAAAAAATTCTTGTCCTAACAATAATTCCACCAAGAAAAATTCCATTTCATTGTTAAAAAATTCATAAGTTTTTGATCAAAAATTTTTCACTTTCTTTTTAGAGAAATTTATTGAAGTTATTTTTGGTAGTGATCATAATGAAATGTTAGTTAAGTCACTCTCAGAGTTCAAACTATACTAAAGTCACTATGTCAGGTACTGAATGTACTATTTTTTTATGCATTCAAATGAAATTTATTTAAAATAATAATTCAAACATTAAAAATTTGATATATAACATCAAATTATACATCCCAAACCTACATTGACAATTTGCAATAAATAAATTTTATAAAAGATAGAGACTAGAGGGTATACATGTGTTTTTTAATCATCAAAAATTTAACAAATTATTAAAATTTCCTATAGTTATTATTTTTAGCTTCAATGCGAAGCTGAGAAGGTATTGGTTTTACTAAGATGTGTTTTTTTTTTTGTGTCTGTTACCACTTTTTCTCAGCTCTCACCGAACCGATTTCTTTCAATGATACGTCAAAAGATCACAAATCGTATCTAGTCGAAGACATTATAATATAATATATAATATATTATAATATAATATAATATAATATCAATATAATATTTTTAACTTTATAATGTTATAACTTATTAAAAAGTGTATGGATCAACAAAATTTTTTTTGAGAAATAATATTTTTTAATAATTCTTTTTTCATTCGACATACTTTATCTTAATCAGGATATTTATAAGGAACTAGCAGATCATGTAACTTTTGGAATAATCCACCAATTTTTTAAAATTAAACACTATCTAAAGATTTGCATCGAAGCGTTTTTTTTGATAGTGATTTTAATCACTGTCAGATATCATTATACTTAATCCAACTATGCCTCGTCACCACTGAGCCGCGACCCCCCTGTGCTGGATTTTTTCATCTTATATTACATTGTATTAGCTTTAATTTAATGTATGTTTAAAGAATGTAGTGTTTTATGTAATAGTGTCAAATATCAAAGAGAAAAAAAATGTTGATATGATTTTTAAGCCTTTTATAATACCTTTAGTTATTGATAAAATTTTCCAAAAATGAATATTGTTAGTAATGCTAAATATTTGATGTATTATCAATAAAAATTTTACAATAATCCCATTTAGTTTTCAAAATATAGTAAAAATTAAAAATAGCAGCATTAACTGTTTTATGACAATTTTGTGGTAAATTTCTCTTTATTACTGGGACTGAGGGGAATTTTTCAAAATTATGGTGCTTAAAGCTTCAATTAAATACATTTTATGATCATTTAATGTATTGTTGAACAAAATATGTTCAGTAAGAGTAGGAGTAATAATTAATACTGATACAAAAAAAAAAAAATATAGTAGAATAAAACCAATAGTTTCTCAACTATGCATTAAAGCTAAGATGATGTTAGAAATAAATTACCTGTTTGTGAAATCTACACTTAAACCAAATAATTGACAAGCATATTCTCCTTGAGTAGAAAGATCAGCTCCTGTGAATGGAGCATTATCACAGCGCTTTAACCAGTAAACACGTTGTTTTGTAGGTATATTATCTCGTTCATATCTATCCCATTGACTAATTAGTAATGAATAACACAAATAACAACTTGCCACCTAGATATTAGTAATGAAATTAGTATTTTTTCTTTTATAACATATTAAATGTATATTTTTTACAAACCATATTATTTTCTCTAGAATGTATTAAAATTTTATAATTTTGAGGTGGTTCGTGCATTTCCAAAAATGGAAAATATGGTGTAGTATCTAATGATCCCGTTGAAGAAGGTTTTATCCGTAACCAATGTTGATCAGGATGACCTGAATTACCACAAATGAAACAAACATTTTGAGCCGTACTACTAGATACATATTGTGTCACATACAAGCCATCTTTGCTACAAACCTTTTGTGCCATCACACTATTATCTGAGCAAAATAAATACATTTTATTATCATAAAAAACTTAATTTAAACATTTTAATATCTAAAATGATCAAATAACATTTCACAAACAAATGTGTTAATTAAATTTGCAACAATTTTTTGTGACAGATGTTACCAGCTGATGTGAGTTATATACATAACTTCACTAACACACATACACTGATAAACACAGCTGTAATTAATGAACAAAAAATATAGAACATAAAAATATATAAAATTAAAACAAATAATCTCTTAATAATATATTTAAATAGTTAATATGAATCTCTTTTAAAATGATTTATGTACTTACGTACATGATTTTGTACTTACGTATAAGAGTGTGATACACAATGTACAAACTAAAAGGGACTTTATTTCTAATCTGGTTATTATCAAAACGTCGATTATGAACGGAAGACTATGGTTATCTTAACAAAGGGATTTAGCTGTTATGTGGCGATATCAAATTTTTCATTCACATTAGCAGTTACAAAAATCAATAACATATAAATTAATTATTTACTGAAAATTATTATTTATAAACATTTATTCATGGTAATAATGATACATAATTATATAAAATATTAAATAATTGACACATATATTCTTTTTCTTCCATGATTTATTTTTCAAACAATTTTAATAACATTACACTACTTACAACATAGTATGGCAAACAAGAATAAAAGTTTTCTTTTACAAGAATAAAAAATTATATGGTTGAGAGTGAAGTAATAGAGTGAGTAATGAAGTATATACATTAACTATGTATCATTTAAACACTATAGAATAAATAATTAAAAAGTTGTGTCGAAAATTGTTTTTAATTTCGATGCGAAGATCAGAATTTGTTAATTTTACTATTATGTATTTTTTTTGTCTGTTATCAATTTTTCTCAACTCTCGCCTAACCGATTTCTTTTAAAAATACATCAAAAATTGAAAAAAATTCCCTCGATTTTGTAAATAGTTGAAATCTCCTAAAAGATTACGATTTATAAAATCAGTAAATTTTAACTTTTTTTATAAAACTGTTATAAATTTGTTTCTATAACTACCTAAGGTGTAATACCTTAGGTAGTTATACCACATTGTTATATAAATAAACAAAAAAAGTGTAATACTTTTTTTGTTTATTTATAATTTTTAGAAAATCTGACATTTAACTTGTCCTTAAGGGGTAATCAAAATAGCAACTTTTACTCAAAAATTTAACTTTTTCAACTTTACTTTTGAATAACATACTTTAAATATCACTCCTATTAGATATTTTTCCATAATAAATTATTCCATCAATTTAAATTCCTGATTAGTATAAAAGTAACATATTTGTTTAATTAAAAAAAGTTAAAACCAAATATAAATAAATATAGTTTAAAAGCGTGTTTTTTTAAACTATATTTATTTTTCACTTTTTAGTTTCATGTTATGATAGTAGTTACTATCAATATCATGGTTGTTACGCGTAACGGGAAATTAGGGTTCGATTCCGGGGAGGGAGTCTGACAAACCGGACTCGGACATTTCGCCGCCGGACTATTCGCCGCTGACCCATTTCGCCGCTGACCGTTTCGCCGCCGGACACTTCGCCGCCACCAGGACACTTCGCAGCCAGACTCTTGATATATAAATTTATTATTAACGCCTTTTCGAAAAATTATAATTATTCTAGCCTAAACCTTCATTGCACAAGTCCTTAAAATCCAGTATAATGATAAAAAAATTAATTATTTATATAATGTCACAAATTATTTAAATTTAATTTGTACTTAATTTAATTATTATAATTAAATGTTATCATAATTATAATATTCATTGTTATTCTTTCATTTTAACAATTAATACTATTGAAATAACTATATTTCAAGTATACTAATGCTATAATTTATATGTATAGGTAATAACAATGTGGTATAATTATTAATTATTAATGTATATACTTAGCGTCGTATCATAAATTAGCATACCCAGTTTTTGAAAATTTTGTATATTTTTAATGAACAAAGTATAAAATACTCAAAAATTCTGTATCCTCTTGGATAGCTATTTAATAATTTTAGAAATTAAATTAAAACAACTTGAGTCAATGTTATAAATTGTTATTTAAAAAAAAATTGTCACTTTTAAAATAAACTATTCAAGCAATTTAAATGGTACATATGAGTATCGAATCGTATGGATGCGAATAACAAGATACTTTATTATTTTGTATTATTATTTATTGTGTATAAGATATTTTGTTTAACAATAAATCAAAGTTTTAGAATGGTTAATTAGGGTAATTTTTGTTTTAAGAATACAACATATTAATTACTTTAATTTATTCTTATAATAGTTGTAATCGTATATTTTAAAACGAACTTTATTAGGCTACCCAGTAGTATTTTGAATATTTTAAATATAAAATAATACTATTTTTGGATAGCTTATTACTTATCAAAACAACATCAAGAAATTTTTTATTTGTTATTGTAATATAAAAATTATTATTTGTTGTGAATTGTTATTGTAATATAAATACTATTTGCCAATCTATAATATTAGAACTGTTTTGATTTAAACACTATTATTAATTGAGATACTAACTGGACGAGTGTAAAAACAAAATGTTTTAATTTTATCAGACTGAGTGTTATTATAAAATAACTTTTAGTAATTGAGGAGTTAAAATAATTTAATCATGTTAACTTTGCCATTGTTATAAGTTATGTTGAACATTTAATGAATATTAGTTAAGCATTAGAAATATTTAGTTCTAATACAATTATTGTTATATCAAAACTATTGTTGATATTCCATTTAAAATATTACAACAGGTTATTTTTAGAAGGGTGAATAAGCGATAATCACTGATAATAAATATTCACCTGCAAAACATCACTGTAAACATAATATTACATGTTCTCTAACCTAGAATTTGCAAATTAATTTAAACTTAAAATCATGATTTCCTATTTTGTTTGCTTTGTTAATTTGGGGCGTAATCATATAAGTTTAAGTATTGTAATTTTTAAAATGTGGTAATACAGCAGTTTTACTTTAGTCATGGAAATCAGTACTAACTTTATTAAGGTTCTTATATATCATTAACTTGTACATTTTTTAAATTATAGTATTCAACTATTGCTTTTAGTTGTTTTGGCTGTTACAATTTTATTTTAAATACAAATAGGTGATTTTTAAATAATTATAGCTGTTATATGACAGAGTATAAAAATTTAGATGGAATTATCAATGTAGGAAGTGTTTTAAATAGTAATAAAAGTGATGATAGTGTAAATGTGCTAATTAATTTTAATAAATTTTCTTCGTATTTATATCTAACTGAATCAAATTTCAAGTATGGAACATATAAACCAATAAAATGGACTTTGCAGGTAATATACTAATAAAATTTTATTCTTTAAATATGACAAATTATAAAATAATAAATATGTATTACTTTTAGTCTATTATGAGCTTGATGTATTCAACTAATGATGATCGTTTTATTTTGACTGATGCAAAAGTAAACCATGAACATTTATCTAATGATGCTCAAAATACACTTACGAGACCTAATAAATTATTTATTTAAAGACAAAGCTCGGTAATATACACTATGTTATTTTAAATATTTTTTATAAATTAAATATGTATGGGTGTAAGTTCAAATAGTTAACATGCATGAAAACTTATAGTTCTTATTTAAAATAATGATAGACCTTTAATTTTATACTAATTTAATATTTCTATTTATTAAACTTATGTTATATTAAATATTTGTTTTAGGGGAACTGATTTTTAATTTTGGAAAATTTCTTCAATTATCATTGAAATACTTCCAAAAGAACAAGAAGTAGGATATAGGTTTAAAACTATTATATTAATTTACATTTTTTTTTTTAAATTATCATAATCAATTAATAATAATGATAAATGCAAATAAATAAATTTTTCAAATACTCGTCAATAAATTTAATAATTAAAGCTCTTTTTCAAATTAGAAAAATATTTGATATTTGAATTACCTACCCTTTTAATAACCAATGTATTTTAAATAAAAACAGATTATAATATTTTTAAATTTAACAAATTAGTTCAAAATTAAAAAATGTATGTATATAAAAGTTTTTAATACATGTTACCTCATTATTATTTTATTTACTGATAGCTATTTTTTAAATTTGAATTTAATACTATTAATAGTATATATTAATAAAAAAAAACAGAATTATACATGCTTTTGAACATAAAAAATTAAAAATGAGTTTTAATATTACTATTTTTATCTTATAGAAAGTATATTTTATACTATCAAGTCAAAATAATTCTATGCAAAAGAAGAATTAGTGAAACATTGACAAAATTGTGTACGCCAGTTTTGGAGCATAGGTGCTATTGAAAGTAAACGAAAAAATAAAAACTTCTCTGAAACATTACCAATTTTAACATTTTCTGGTAGTAATATTATCAAACATTTATGTTTTATATTCATGCTAATACATCCAATTCATTTATTTATTTAATATAAATATTAAAATAGATGAAGCTGAATCAGCAAAAGTTTGGTTAAGCACAATTGGGTTTTTACTAACTTTGATGAGATTAAAAAACACTGGAAATAAAAATGGCTGAAATTCGAGGTTTAAAATAGCATTACTGGTCGTCATTTGTCTAAAAATTTTAAATCATGGCCTATTTTATGTAGTCCTAAAGGATATAATCTGGTAAGAAAAAAAAATGATAAATATTAGTAATTAATATTATTATCTATGTGTATTTTTTTTATAATATAGTAATCAATGCATGTTTTAATATTTAAATTAAAATTTAGGTAATATTTCTATCATCTCATCAGCAACTTTTTTTACTTTTTATTTTCAAATATGATACTGGTTAAAACTATAAAAAAAAGCAATGTGTTGTGTCTACTTATTATTTAAATTTTTGTTTTAGGTTTTTTGAAGATTTTTTTATGAAATACCCAGAAACAAAAAACTATTAACATAATTGGCTAAACTTTATTAAAAAGTGGATTTTGTTTTCAAATAACTTATTGCGCTTACATAGAAATTTAGTGAAAGATAATTATGCTAATGACTTATTAAAACAACTTGATACTATACAACTGAATGCAAGTTATTATTGTATAATTATTAATTATCTATCCTGTGAATTTTATGCACCTTTATTTTAAAAGTTAATATTGTAATTTAACCAGAGACATAATTATAAGTCCTGGGATTAAACTAGTCTTTATAAAGAAAATGTTATGCCATTTTATTAACTTATTATAAATAATCCTCAGACTTGGTGTATTTGAAATACTCATATATAAGTGATAAATATAGTTCACAGCTCTGCTAAGTATTAATCCATTAATTTCAATTGTGTTTTCATTTATATTTTGTTTAATCTATATGTTCATTAGTATATTTCCTTAAAAGTTAATTCATAATATATGTTATTTTACAGGGTATGATTTAATTAAGAAAATTACTTTGGTTAATGATCAATAATAAATTTTAGATTTTGAACTAAAAGAAACCAATATTTTTATTTTTTGTTTAATTAAGTAGTGCATGATAAGTGAGTCACTGTAGTTCATCTATTTTAACATGTAAAATTTAAATGTATGAATCTCCAAAATCTATTTTAAATTATTAGTTGTATATTTTAGTTGTTATTACTATTTTAATTTTTGATACAAATCATATTTAAATTAATTTTTCATTAGATACTAGAACAAGCTACGCATTGAAACTTCTATTGATTCCATATGTATGTTCCATACTTGAAATTTGAAGAAAATTTATTAGAATTAGTTTGCACATTTACACTATCATCACTTTTATTACTATTTAAAACACTTCCTACATTGATAATTCCATCCAAATTTTTATACTCTGTCATATGACAGCTATAATTATTTAAAAATCACCTATCAAAACAGCCAAAACAACTAAAAGCAATAGTTGAATACTATAATTTAAAAAATGTACAAGTTAATGATATATAAGAACCTTAATAAAGTTAGTACTGATTTCCATGACTAAAGTAAAAATGCTGTATTACAACATTTTAAAAATTATAATACTTAAACTTATATGATTACGCCCCAAATCAACAAAGCAAACAAAATAGGAAATCATGATTTTAAGTTTAAATTAATTTTTATTTAGATACTAGAACAAGCTACGCATTGAAACTTCTATTGATTCCATATCTAGTACTAACTAAATCTCAAATGAAAACAAACAAAAAGTCTGCGAAATCATCGCTAGTTGAATGTGTTTCATCTTTTGTTATAAATGTTTAAGTAGGTTATTATTATAAATATATGAATAGATGCACACCTTTAAGTTCCTAATTCATTAAGTATTTTAGTTTATATGAACTTAAACTTGTGTCACATTTATATGTTGTATTGAAATTATTTATATAAATATTCATTTTCAAAATTTAAATGATTCAGA